TTTCAGTGGTGCCCAGGGACAGGACAAGAGGAAATGGGCACAAACTTGAATGTAAGAAGTTCCACCTAAACATGAGGAGGAAATTCTTTGCTGTGAGGGTGGCAGAGCCCTGGCAGAGGCTGCCCAGGGAGGTGGTGGAGTCTCCTTCTCTGGAGACATTCAAACCCTCCTGGACACGTTCCTGTGGGACCTGCTCTGGGTGGCCCTGCTCTGGCAGGGGGTTGGACTGGATGGTCTCTAGAGGTCCCTTCCAACCCCATGTGATTCTGATTCCTCCCTGTTTGCTGCCTGTGTGGGTGCTGGTGGGGATGCCCAGAGCAGAGGAGATGCTCCATCAGTGTCCCCTGAGCCGTCCCAGCTGTGTGACAGGGTCACAACCATGCACGCCTTGGGGACAGTCCCCAGCACCCTCCACCAAACCCCTGGGTGCACGTTATTCCCGCAGCAGAGGCTGAAAAAACAAAAACAAAAACCCACCTTCTTTGGAGTAGAAATACCTTTTATCATCCCCCAGCTGGGTGTGGGGACCCTGGGAGGGGAGGGGGGGTGTTGATCCCACTCCCCAGGCCCATCAGAGGAGTGTCACGCCGCACGTTTCTCTTTGCAGGTGAAGACCCACGTGTCGGACCCCGAGGGGAGCCAGTAGACGGAGGGGGGTCCCGGGGCCAGCCCTTTCCCCTCTCGCCTTCCTTACTTCTTTCCGAGGCTTCCCAGCTGGTGCCACAGGGTTGCTGTGAGGTGCCCGCTCCCCACATGGGCACCCCCCTGCCGCCGGCAGCCTCGCGTCCCACCAGCCCGGGCCGGAGAAGTCTTTGTGTCCCAGTGGCGCTTGTTTTCTCCTTTTTTCCTCCTGTTTTCAGCCCTAGAGGAAAAAAAAAAAAAAAAAGGATCATATCCCAAAGGATTATCCCAAATCTTGGCTGCTTGAAGAGCTGGCACCCCCCTACACACACACCCATAGGGTGGAGAAAGCCCCCCAACCCTGAGGGCACGGGTCGCATCCCAACCTCTCCTGCCCCGCGAGCCCACCCCGCTGCCTCCCCGCATCAGAATTCCCCCAGGAATGGGATCAGCAGCCACGGGTGCAGCCTGGGAAGGCTTTGGGAGCCGCTTGGCATCCCACCACGATGCCACAGGAAGGAGGGGATCACCCCGAGACAGCTCTGAGGGGATTTTGTGGGATTTGGGGATGGTGCCGAGCCCAGCTCTGACGCCAGCAGCAGGGCAGCACAAACCCAGTTGCTCCCAGTCACCCCTCATGGGTTTTCCTTACTGGTTCTCAGCCGCAGACGGTGTCTGTGGCCAGCAGGACTCTGCCAGGGCTCCTGTGCCCGAGAAGTCACGGTGTGTCCCCCCCATTCTCCCCATCTCGGGGAGTCACATCTCAGTTTGGTGTCCCCCGTTTCTAGGTGGCCCTACTCTCACTGGTAGGAGCTCATTCCGTACTTCTGATTTGCTCTGGCAAAAAGAGTGTTTTGTGTTGGAAAGAAAAATAATTTTTATTTCTTTTCTCTGGTTATTCCGACCCCGATGCAGTTTTTCCACCGCGGGAAGAGCACGTGTGATTTTTGTACCCAATTTTCTGGGCTGCCTGGCACAAGCCCCAGGCTGGGGGGGCTTTCTAGGACGCTGCCTTCCCCACGGCTCAACCCAGGGGCAGGAGGAGCCCGGCTCTGCCCTGGTTCCCCACGGGAACATTCATCACCACCTTGAACCAGAACGTTCCCTTACCAGGAGCGGCTCCAGGAACAGCTGGACCCCAGGGCAGCACCCACCTCCCTCCCCACCCCTCCAGGAAAGACAAGGGGAGCACAAGCAGGGTCACCCCCACGCCTGGCAGCACCACGAGAGCATCCGTGGCTGGCAAAGACCCCAGCAGAGCCACGCGGGCAGAAAAGTCACCAGAAAAAACTTATTTATTATAAAAAAAACCCCAAACAACAAACAAACCTAACAGAACACATCTCTGTCCCCATGAAATGCTGCCTGGGTTAAGGTCCAAAGGATGGGCATCTGCCACAGTGTGGCTCCTGCCCGGTGCTAGAAGGAAGGGTCCAGGTGTCTCCAGGAACATGAAGCGTGGATCAGGCAGGCTCTGGGGGTCTTCAGGAGCACAAAGTGTGGATCAGGCAGGCTCTGGGGGTCTCCAGGAACATGAAGCATGGATCACGCTGGCCCAAGGGGTCTCCTGGAGCATGACGTGAATCAGGCTAGCCCAGGGGGTCTCCAGGAGCATGACGTGTGGATCAGGCTGGCTCCAGGAGGTCTCCAGGAGCATGAAGCATGGATCAGACAGGCTGCAGAGGGTTTCCAGGAACATGAAGCATGGATCAGGCTGCCTCCAGAGGTTCTCCAGAAGCATGAAGTGTGGACCAGACAGGCTCCAGAGGTTCTCCAGGAGGATGATGTGTGGATCAGGCAGGCTCTGGGGGTCTCCAGGAGCATGAAGTGTGGACCAGGCAGGCTCCAGAGGTTCTCCAGGAGCACCAAGCATGGATCAGGCTGCCTCCAGAGGTTCTCCAGAAGCATGAAGTGTGGACCAGACAGGCTCCAGAGGTTCTCCAGGAGGATGATGTGTGGATCAGGCAGGCTCTGGGGGTCTCCAGGAACATGAAGCATGGATCAGGCTCCCTCCAGAGGTTCTCCAGGAGCACCAAGCATGGATCAGGCTGCCTCCAGAGGTTCTCCAGGAGCACCAAGTGTGGATCAGGCAGCCTCTGGGGGTCTCCAGGAACACGAAGCGTGGACCAGGCAGGCTCCAGAAGTTCTCCAGGAGCACAAAGTGTGGATCAGGCAGGCTCTGGGGGTCTCCAGGAACATGAAGCATGGATCAGGCTCCCTCCAGAAGTTCTCCAGGAGGATGACATGTGGATAAGGCAAGCTCTGGGGGTCTCAGCCCCACCAAGGACACCTTCAGGAGACAACCCATCCCCAGACAAGTGCCACCCGAGCAACCCTCAGCGCTCAGGCAGTGGTGGTGGCAGCGGTGGTGGCAGTGGCGGCGGCAGTGGTGGCAGCACAGCGGCGGGCCGCCCGCAGCAGGCTCTGCCGCAGCACAGGGTAGAGGCGGTGGCAGCCGTCGATGGCGAGTCGCAGGGCCTGCGCCCAGGCCTCGGGGGGGCTGCCCTGCCCACCCCCCAGCACCGCTGACACCTGATTGAGAGCGGGCAGCAGGGCCACCGTCAGCCGGGCCACGGCGCGCCGTTCCTCGGGTTCTCCCGGCTGGAGCATCCAGGGAGCAGAAGGCCCCGGGAGGCGGCACAGGGCGCATCCCACCGCCAGGTCGTACATCTCCACCCCGGCGTCGGCCAGGGCCATGGCGGCGGCGCTGATGGCGGCGGCCAAGGCCGAGCCGCCGTCCTGCAGCAGCAGAGCGCTGACGGCCAGCCGGGCCCGCGGGTAACGGGACAACCGCACCGCCGGCTCCAGGGCTTCCCGCAGAGCCGCCGCCGCCTCCCGCTCCGCTTCCCGCTCCGCCGCCGTGCCCGGCCGCCAGCGAGCCCCGCGGCCGGCGAAGGGAGCCCGGCGGAACTCGCAGAGGAGCTGGCCGCCCCCCGGCCCCCCGGCCTCGCCAGCCTCCCGCGGGCCCCAGGCGGCGCACAGCACCTTGGTGCCACCGCTCAGCTCCACGTAGGCCGAGCCCTCGGCCTGGCTCAGTAGCCCAGCCCGGGCGAAGAGAGGCCGAAGGGCGCAGGGATCCCTCGGGGCTTCATCTTCCTCCTCATCATCATCCTTCCTGCCCGTCCCCCAAAGCTCCGGGGGCTGCGACTCCTCCGGTCCCCGCACCCGGCGGTGATCCAGCGGCATGTCGGGCCGGGAAAAGGGGGAGGAGGAGGAAGGGGAGGAGGCAGGGGAGGAAGAGGAGGAGGAGGAAGAGGAGGAGCCCGGCCCGCCCCCCCCCACGCAGCACCGCGCAGAACTGAGCGGAAATGCTGCCTGGGTTAAGGTCCAAAGGATGGGCATCTGCCACAGTGTGGCTCCTGCCCGGTGCTAGAAGGAAGGGTCCAGGTGTCTCCAGGAACATGAAGCGTGGATCATGCTGGCCCAAGGGGTCTCCTGGAGCATGACGTGAATCAGGCTAGCCCAGGGGGTCTCCAGGAGCATGACGTGTGGATCAGGCTGGCTCCAGGAGGTCTCCAGGAGCATGAAGCATGGATCAGACAGGCTGCAGAGGGTTTCCAGGAACATGAAGCATGGATCAGGCTGCCTCCAGAGGTTCTCCAGGAGCATGAAGTGTGGACCAGACAGGCTCCAGAGGTTCTCCAGGAGGATGATGTGTGGATCAGGCAGGCTCTGGGGGTCTCCAGGAACATGAAGCATGGATCAGGCTCCCTCCAGAGGTTCTCCAGGAGGATGACATGTGGATAAGGCAAGCTCTGGGGGTCTCAGCCCCACCAAGGACACCTTCAGGAGACAACCCATCCCCAGACAAGTGCCACCCGAGCAACCCTCAGCGCTCAGGCAGTGGTGGTGGCAGCGGTGGTGGCAGTGGCGGCGGCAGTGGTGGCAGCACAGCGGCGGGCCGCCCGCAGCAGGCTCTGCCGCAGCACAGGGTAGAGGCGGTGGCAGCCGTCGATGGCGAGTCGCAGGGCCTGCGCCCAGGCCTCGGGGGGGCTGCCCTGCCCACCCCCCAGCACCGCTGACACCTGATTGAGAGCGGGCAGCAGGGCCACCGTCAGCCGGGCCACGGCGCGCCGTTCCTCGGGTTCTCCCGGCTGGAGCATCCAGGGAGCAGAAGGCCCCGGGAGGCGGCACAGGGCGCATCCCACCGCCAGGTCGTACATCTCCACCCCGGCGTCGGCCAGGGCCATGGCGGCGGCGCTGATGGCGGCGGCCAAGGCCGAGCCGCCGTCCTGCAGCAGCAGAGCGCTGACGGCCAGCCGGGCCCGCGGGTAACGGGACAACCGCACCGCCGGCTCCAGGGCTTCCCGCAGAGCCGCCGCCGCCTCCCGCTCCGCTTCCCGCTCCGCCGCCGTGCCCGGCCGCCAGCGAGCCCCGCGGCCGGCGAAGGGAGCCCGGCGGAACTCGCAGAGGAGCTGGCCGCCCCCCGGCCCCCCGGCCTCGCCAGCCTCCCGCGGGCCCCAGGCGGCGCACAGCACCTTGGTGCCACCGCTCAGCTCCACGTAGGCCGAGCCCTCGGCCTGGCTCAGTAGCCCAGCCCGGGCGAAGAGAGGCCGAAGGGCGCAGGGGTCCCTCGGGGCTTCATCTTCCTCCTCATCATCATCCTTCCTGCCCGTCCCCCAAAGCTCCGGGGGCTGCGACTCCTCCGGTCCCCGCACCCGGCGGTGATCCAGCGGCATGTCGGGCCGGGAAAAGGGGGAGGAGGAGGAAGGGGAGGAGGCAGGGGAGGAAGAGGAGGAGGAGGAAGAGGAGGAGCCCGGCCCGCCCCCCCCCACGCAGCACCGCGCAGAACTGAGCGGCGTTTACTTCTCTTTATTTCTAGGAAAAGCCGGGTAGTGGCTCAGCAGCAGGCAGGGGACGGGCAGGAGGGGACAGGGGGACACCGGTCACACACCCCCCTCCCCAGGGAAAGGGGTCAGTTCTTCAGCTCCCCCAGCCGTAGCTGGGCAAAGTCCGTGGCCAGTTTGAGGGCCTCCTGCAGACACCCCACGTTCTTCCCCGTGGCCTGTGCGGAGATATCCTTCCCACCGCCTTTGCCGTCCATCAAGCCGGACACCTCCTGCACCCACTGGCTGGCCTTCAGCCCCTTGTTTGCAGTCTCCTGGGTAGGAAAAGAAACCCAAAAACCTCAGTCAGCTCCATCCCAGCACAGCCAGAGGTGAGGGAATCACAGGATCAGAGAAAGGTGGGGAAGGGACCTCTGGAGAACATCTAGTCCAACCCCCTCTGCCACAGCAGGTTCAACCAGAGCACGTTGCGCAAGGATGGGGTCCAGGTGGGTTTTCAGAAGGTCCAGAGCGTAGGCCCACAGGACAAAGCTCTCCCAAGTGCATCCCCTGGGCCAGCAGACCAGGACCAGAGTGTCTCCCCCCATGCCTACAACCACACCAAGTCCTGGCTCTTCCCCTTTCATAACATAAATTACAGAATCACAGGGGGTTGGGAAGGGAGCTCTGGAGATCATTTCCTCCAACCCCCCCCCCGCCAAAGCAGGGCCACCCAGAGCAGGTTGCACAGGAATGTGTCCAGGTGGGGTTTGAATGTCTCCAGAGAAGGAGACTCCCCCACCTCTCTGGGCAGCAGAGAATAATGCCTTCCCCACCCCCCCCCCGCCTCTGCAGCCTGAGAGAACCCAAAGCACAAGGCTCTTGCCAACCCAAACGAGTTTTGGCCGTGCAGCGTTAGATAATTGCTGCTTGGAGACTGCAGGTCCTCCACGCGGCGCAGAGGAAAGCAGGCACAGACTCAGCCTTACCTGGGGAACTTGGCACAGGCAGGTGATCCTGCCCGCTTCGCTATCGACGGCGAAGAGCATGGCAGCAGTCTGTGGGGAGTGGGTCTTGAAGAGCTTCAGGGACTCATTCAGGGCCTGGAGGAGAAGGGAATCATGGCAGCTCACCTTCCCCACACTCACAACAGCCCCGCGGGGACCTGGACTCGCATCAAACCAGGCAGAAGCACCGCTCCTTCTCCCAGACACAAGCCATTCTCACATCCCTGGCTTGCAGAAGCCTCGCAGGGGCCACCAGCCCTGGCTGTGTCCCCTCAAGGCTGCAAGGAGGTGAGAATGAGGAGCGTCTTTGAATTTCCCCATGGTCAGTTATCTGGGAACTGGGCAGAATCAGCCCCAAAGCAAGTGAACCTTTGCCCAGGCGTGCTGGGTGGGGGGAAAATCCTCTGCCCAGCCATGTGAGCTCCCAGCAGGAGGGAGCAGCAGGTCACGAGGACTCAGATGCAGCGTGAAGGAGCTGCAAGGGTTATCCAATGCAGCTGGAAAAACCAGGGAGACTGCCAGGCATCTCCTTATTCCCAAGAAGACCATCATCCTTTGCTTGCATAGACAGTATTCTCAGAGCTCCGGGAGCAGGCTCTCTGGAGAGCAAAGTGGTGCTGCTCTGGTTGGAAAGGGAACCAACACCCCCTGGGATGAATCATGGAATGGTTTGGGTTGGAAGGGACCTTAAAGCCCCCCCAGTGCCACCCCCTGCCCTGGGCAGGGACACCTCCCACCACACCAGGTTGCTCCAAGCCCCCTCCAACCTGCCCTTGAACCCCTCCAGGGATGGGGCAGCCACAGCTTCTCTGGCCAACCTGGGCCAGGCTCTCACCACCCTCCCACCAAACAAGTTCTTCCCCACATCTCAGCTCCATCTCCCCTCTTTCAGGGTCAAACCCTTCCCCCTCCTCCTAGGGCTCCCCTCCCTGATCCAGAGTCCCTCCCCAGCTTTCCTGGAGCCCCTTGAGGGACTGGAAGGGGCTCCAAGGTCTCCCCGGAGCCTTCTCTTCTCCAGGCTGAACCCCCCAACTCTCTCAGCCCCCCCTCCCAGCAGAGGGGCTCCAGCCCTCCCAGCATCTCCGAGGCCTCCTCTGGCCCCGCTCCAACAGCTCTATGTCCTTCTGCTGTTGGTGGCCCCAGAGCTGGAGGCAGCACTGGGGGGGTCTCCCCAGAGCGGAGCAGAGGGGCAGAATCCCCCCCATCCATCCCTCTCCCTGCTGGCCACGGGGCTGGGGATGCAGCCCAGGGTGCGGGGGGTTTCTGGGCTCCAGCGCAGGTTGCCGGGGCGTGTGGAGCTTCTCCTCCACCGACACCCCCAAGTCCTTCTCCCCAGGGCTGCTCTCCAGCCATTCTCTGCTCAACCTGTTTGTGGGTGGAATTGCCCTGAGCCAGGGGCAGAACCCTGCACTTGGCCTGGCTGAATTTATGCCAGGGCTGCAGGGCACCCATGGCAAGCAAGAGCGCTGGCATCGAGGGGATGGGGATGGCCACAGAGAGCGAGCAGGTGTCCCTCAGCAGGATCAGCTCCGAGACTCCCGGAAGGAAAATTTAAATAGGGTGTTAAAAACCTGAGTGATCCCAACCTCAGGGCACCAGGAGGCGGGGAGCAGCTCTTCAGCCTGGCCCTGTCCACACACGCAGCCCAGGACACCCTTCCCAGAGCTGGTCTCTGGTGGCCACAAGCATCAGGACTTCCGTGGCGTGGCAGAGTTCCCACAGCCTGCATTTTAGCGCTGCGACCGCTCCTGGATGAGTCTTACCCAGGACACAATGCCATTTCTATCAGGGTCCCTATCCACCCCTGGGTCTGGAAGCTCAGCAAATGGTCAAGAGCCCACCTCACCCCTGCAAACCCACATGATAGTCCAGGAGGTGGGATGCAGAGAGTACCTCACTGGTCCTCTCCTTCTTCACTAGCCACTGCTCGGGGCTAGCAGATGGCAAGAGACAGCTCTGTAACACAGCACTGCCTGCCCAAGTGACCAGAGACCACCCAACTGCTCCTCAGGAAGGCAGTGGAGGAGACCAGCCTTCCCATACCTTTGCTGAGGCTCCATGTTCCATTTCCATGATGACCAAGGGCTGGTTGGGGTGACTCTCAATAACTTGCTTGGTCTTCTCCAGCACCTGGGAACAGCAGCAGTCAGATGCTAGAGCACACACATCACGTATGCACACAAGAACCATCTCAGTAGAGCTTCCCTGCAGGTACAGAGGTCCCCAGGGTGTCCCAAAACACCCACGGCCCAGCCCAGAGCAGCCCCACACTCTGCAGCCAGGAACCAAACAGTGTTGGCAGACGGGTCTGTGGCCTTCAAGGCAGCAGCAGTGCTGCGTGTGATTCCTCCTTCAGGAAAATCCAATGGGATCCAGGAGTAAGAACCACGCACCACCCATACCCTGCACCCAGGGGCACCCTTAGGGCAGAAGCACCCCAACTTCCAAGACATGCAGCACCCCAGGGATCAGGTGTGGAGATGGCCAAGCCCTGGGAGGGAGCAGGAGAGGCTGAACAGCACAAGGGGCATCCCCACAGCTCCCTTCCACGCTGGACACGAGTGGAGCCCCCCGCAGCCCTCACAGTGTCCTTTATTCCCACCCAGGGCTCACTCGTTTCTGGATGTCAGCTTTGCTTGCTCGGTCCAGGTCATCCATAACTTTCTTCAGTGCTTTAACAGCCTCTCTCAGCTCATCTTTCTGCCACTGCGGGATAACAGCGGTGGCCAGTGTCTGCAAAACAGGAGCAGGTTAGAGGTACCAATGGCCACGTCGGGGGATGCTGCACCCCACTCCTGAACCTCCCCTCCTCTCCCAGCCCCCCACAGCACCCACAGGACACGGGACTGGGACCTCTGCTCAGGCAGGAGCAGGAAGCTGAACTGGTGGTTTATTAAAACCACCCAGTGCTGGGTGGCTTTAAGGCCACCATTCACTTTGAGAAGAGAGAGCACTGCAACTATCCTCACCTCACTGAGGTCCGTGATCTCCTTCTGCACATCCTTGTTGGGAGCTGTCTGGACCTTCACCTTGGCCTCCAGGGCTGACAAGAGCTTCCTGAGGCTGTCGACTTTCCGGAGGGCCTAGCAGAATACAATCCCAGTTAAGCCAGGCAGGGAGATTTAGCAAGATGGGCTCTTGGCCACCACCAGGAAAAGGGAAAATCTCTTCATTGAGAGGGTTATCGAGCATTGGAACAGGCTGCCCAGGAAAGTGGTGGAGGTATTTTAGAGCTGGGCAGACGGAGTGCTGAGGGACCTGGGTTAGTGGTGGGTTTGGTAGTGTTGATGCCTGGACTAGATATTCTGAAAGGTCCCTTCCAACCCAGACAATTCTATTATTCTTAGGGGTGAAGTATATACTGCAGCCCCAGGATGGGTTTCAGTAACTCCCTTGGAAGCAGTAGAACCAAAGCAGGTAGCATTTGACCAGAACCAGGGTGTGATGCTGGCTCGCAGGACCCAACCCAGGCTCTTTTAGCACAAGCCAAGACTTTCTCCCACTTTCCCCCCCAGCTCTCTCCTCTGGCTGTAGCATAGCCAGGGGCTCCAGCACAGCCTTTGCCAACAGCAGCATCCTTCTCTGTGCTGCGTTGGTAGAATCCAAGCCACAAATCCCTCAGGCAAACGTAAATGAGAAGGACCTTGGCACAGGGTTAATATCTGTGCATGCACGTGCCAAAGGTTTCCCACAGGAAATGGATTTCTCCTGCAGGATCTCTCCTGCCTCCCCTTACCTTCCGAGCTTCAGCCCCAGTGACCGCAACTATCCTCCGGATGCCTTTAGCAATTGCTTCTTCTGAAACAATCACAAAGGGGCCAGCGTGGCTGGAGTTCTGCAAGTGCCTTTGGAAAGAACCCGGAAAGACCCCCCCAACAAGAGAGAGTGAGAAGTTCATCTCATCTCGGCAGGAATCCCCAACAAGAGAGAGTG